TCATTGATGACTATTCATTATATATATAAGTAAATCTTCATTTATTTTAAATGATCGATTGGAAATTATGCACCATCTTCTCCACTTCAATGCTTTTGTCGGGCGTGGTGTCGGCACATGGCTTAGATTCATTCATACACCACTACGATTAGTATTTTTACGATTATTATAATAATTATAACAATAATAATAATAATAATTATTATTATTACAAAAACTAAAAATAATGCACGCGATTATAATCTTGTTGAAGTTGCAACTGTAGTTTTGTTGAACTATGGGAAAATTGTTATCGTGAATGCAAGGGTAGGGCTGTCAAAAAAAATTGTTATTCGCGAACAGTTCGTGTTTGGTTCGTCAATGAGTTTGTATTTGATTCGTTCAATAAGTAAACGAGACAAACGTGAACAAATATTTTTCGTTCGGTTATTTAAACGAACCAAACACAAACAATGATGTTTTCGTTCGTGTTCGAATCGTTTCGTTCATTCGTGTTCGAATCGTTATTGTTTGAAATATAAAATAATTTAAAATAATTATATATAAAAAATTTATGATATTTTAAAAAAATAAATTTCATAAATTGGAATATATAATAAATTAATAATATTAATATACTATATTACTAATATACTAATATAGATATTATATATTTATATAATATGTTATATAATTAATATAATATATTATTTATATATATTAATATTAGGGATGTCAAACTGGCTCTTCGTTCGCGAACAGCTCGTATTCGGCTCTTATTCGGCTCGTTCGTTAAAAAACAAACACGAACATTAATTTCATGAATAATTTCGAACATGAGTTTTTTTCAAACAAATTAAATTTCAAACGAACCGAACACGAACACAAACTCTATTTGTTCGTGTTCGGTTAGTTTACACCCCCCATGCAGGGGAGCAAAAGTATTATTATATCGTTTTATGTGCATGAATATGCATGTCATGGTATATGTGTTAATGCTTCCTTAAAGAAGCATTTATATCATCAGTATAAATTGAATAATATCATTTTACATAAAATAATCTGATTCTTGTACGCATAATTCAAATATAAACTGAATTACAGAAATTGTAATCTAACTTGTTAAATTATTTCAATTATTATTAACATATATAATAAACCTTTTAGGATCTGAGATAATCTTTGGAGCAAAAAATGTACAAACTTCGATTAAGTCATATAGAGCTTTTATTTCAACAAACATACAGGCAAACAATTTGGCACTGGAAGACAAACTCAATGGTATCAAAATAGATCTAATCCGAGTCAAATCAAGCTCAGATCAAGTCATTAAACCACATATAGAAGCTTTCCAAACATATTTAGAAGGTCAAACAATTGTCAAAGTTAGTAAGTTGTAGTCGAATCAAGCATCTCGACGAGAAGAATACAATGAGCCTAAGATCAAACATCATCTATAAGTCATATAGAGCTTCTATCTCATTGAATTTCAACATCATTAAAGCACTTAATTGTCCATCAAATGTCGTCTGATCGAGAGAATCTCTTTGGGTCATCCGATCAGAGTGGTTCATATTTTTTCATTAATTGCAACCGAGAATATATAAATAGAGCCCCATTTTTTGCAAAGTAGGGGAGAGAGCTTGAAGCCTGAATAAGACTAAAACTTGGAGGAGCAAAAGCTGTCCTCTACTCCTGCAACAACTCACCATATGTAGCCATTGTCGATCACCACTCGTCGATCGTTGCCGATCACCATTGACTGCCACCCACTCCTTACAACAAAACACCGTGTGAAGCAACAACTAATGTCATTGAGACATGAAGCAACCTGTGAAGCGGCGCTTCACCCTGAACGTTGGGTTAACTCTAAAGACGGCGCAACAACGCACCTCAAAGACGGTGCAACATCGCATCTTGATGATGGGGTAATGACACACCTCACAACGCTCGTGCAACTCCCGACTCCGATCCTTGCGACCTACGGATGTCATTACAACTCACCACTACAATCTACGTGATCAAATACGGCCTACATGGTTCACAACTCGTGCAGCTTCTGACCCTAGCCCACCCAACTCTGGCCCACATGGCCTACGGACAACATTACAACTCAACAGTAAGACTTACATGACCAACTGTGGTCTAGGAGATTCACAACTTGTTTAGCTCTTAATTTCGTCCCTCGAGGCCTATAGACATCATTACGACTCCCCACTATGACCTATGTGACAAATTACGACATACTTGGTCCACAACTCTTGCAGCACTTGACTCCGGCCTCTGTGACCCACAAACGTCAACGCAACTCACCACAATGACATATACGGCGTATATGGTCCACAACTCGTGCAACTCTCTACTACATCCTCTATGACCAACTGATGCTTCTGAAGCGACTATCCACGACTCACTTGGCCAACTACTTTCATGGCTACCAACTACAACTTCTACGACAATGTGACGCCACTACTACTGTTTACAACACTCACAAAACACTACTACCTCCACCGCAATCGATCATCGTAGTTGTAGCTTGTCATTGCTAAGAACTACAACCAAATTACTGATATACAACTTTGTAATATGATCTTCCCTAATTCAGAAGAAGAGTGGAGATGTGCACTCATCATTAATAGTGAATTATTTCAACTGTACTAGATCCTGTGATTTTCTTCCCTTTCAAAGTTTTTTCACATAAAAAAGTTAAGGTGCTCACCTCTTTCATTATCTAAGTATGTGCTGATTTTTCATGCAATACTAAGATAATAAATAATCATTACTCTAGCTCCACAAATCTTTCAGCACGCACCAATTCTCTTCAAACTAAAATTGTATTCTATCTTAGCATATTATGGTTCTTTTGCTCGAATAAACATGTTGATTCATTATTATTATTATTATCATTTTACTTACATACGGCTATCATTCTATCGCATTGAATATTTTTCTTCCCTTAAGTTTGGAATCGAAGTTTAAGCTTTATGCTCTGTGCTTTCATTGCTTTCCATCCTTTCATTAGTTGTCTGCCTACGCCTTATATTGAACTTGACGCCGAACAAGAATAACAAAGCTTGGGGTCGCATAAGCATTGAAATGGGAGTAATATTAAAGAATTATAAATATAATCATTGA